ATAACAATAATTTATGCATATGTAGGTTTTTTTAATTAAAAAAATTAACATTTAAATTTTCAACGTCATTAAATTAAATATTATCTTCAATAATTATATTTCTTTTTATACAAATACTTTTTTTTTTTCAATTGTCCTTATTTTTATTATATCTGTTTTTTTTAATATTTAAATTTTTGGCCAAATTTCACCAACAAATATATATATTTTTTCAAATCTTGATTTATTAGACAATAAATCAAAGAAAATTTTATTTATAAACTTAAAAATATTGATTTAATTAGTGTATTTTTTGTTACTTAAATAAACGTTAATTTATTTTCAAATAAGCTAATTATGCAATAAAGTTGTTTATTGGGCTATAATAATGTACTGATCGCATCATTTAATTGGCTGTATAACTTTGTTATCAATTTTTAAATCATAAATTAAATAGTGATGTAATGACATTATAATTGATAGAAATTGGAGGATGTTTCGGAATTAAAAAAATTGATATAATATATTGTTGCACGTGTGGACATTTAATTAGTGGGGCCCACTTTAAACGGGAGGCTTCCTACAAGCTAAACTCTAATTTTTACTATCCATATGTTTCGTGATTATTTATAATTAGTTTTTTTGTTTATAGAAAAAGTGTATTAGTGTTTGATATCAAAATTATATTATTGCAGTTAAAATGAGAAAATTCTACTCATAAAATCGATTTATATAATTAGAAATACCTTTATTTTTTCTAAACCTACATTTCGACTCGAGTCATAATATTTATTTTTTTAATAAATATTTATATCGTTAAAAGTCGTGTCTATACTTGTAATAAATTATACCTTATAATTAAAAAAATTATATCTATATTAATAAATTTTATTTAAATTTTTGAAATGTTGTCAAAAGGGCATTTATTTCATAAAGCCGGCCCGACCCGCCGGTTCGGATTCGTTGAGTAAGACAGTTTTTTTGGTTGGATGATGGGCGTTGAGACATGGAAAATTTTTGTTTTGTTGTTTGGGGTCGGATTAGACATAAACATGTAGCCATCAATCAAGCCTATGTGTTTGAAAATTTGAAGCGAAGTCTTCCTCTTTTGGTTGCCTTCATTTCTAACCATACCTAACTTCTTCTTTCATGCATGTCTTTTTCAACTAAATTTTAGTCACTTTAGTTAATTGGGGTTAGGTATCTGAAGCTGAATCGTTTGTTTTTCGTTTAAGTTCTTGTCTTCACAAGCTCGTTATTTGGGACCTGGGTATCTAAGATTGAAGCGTTTGGTTCTTGTTTAAGTTTTTATCTCCATAAACTCGTTATTTAAAATCTGGGTATTTGAGATTGAATCATTTGTTTCTATTTTGGTTAATTTTCGTGATTATGATTTTGTTTTGAACTGGTAGATGTTGTCGTCGTGAGTTCGGTTTGATTTATTCATTAATTCGAATAAACACATTCATATGTGTTGAACAAGTCTAATAGTGCTTGACCTTTTAATTAATTATAATCCCGATTTAATAACTATTTAGATTTTGAAAATTAATTCGGGTAAACAATACATAAATTCGATAATAATTTTTTTTGATATGCATCCATTAAATTGAGTCAAATAAATTAAATTTTATGGATAAAATTAAATTGGGCCGGGTCAACGTTAAATATGGATTTTAGTTCATGGTTTGGGCCGAATGACAAGATATTCAGGGAATCCGGCCCATTTATTCTAAGCTTTTGAAAATCCCTAGTATCATCTAGCGGTACCTCTTTTTCCCGATCTCTCTCTCTTTCGCTCCCTTTCCTCTCGCGCTGCTGGTTGCCGACTGTCCAGCAGTGCCGTCCGCCGTCTGAGAAAATCCTACTGCACCGCTACTACACTCATAAACCCTAGTTCTCCGCTAAAATGAACTGCTCTAGTAAGTTCTCCAATTTTTCATTGTCTCAAATTCATTGTCTTGCTTCTTCAATTTGTGCTGATCTCTGTTATTGTTATGTTTGATTTGCTCTACAGTCTCCGGCGAGATTCCGGAAGAGCCAGTTGTCTCTAAGAATTCTGGATTACTCTTCGAGAAGCGGTTAATCGAGAGGCACATTTTAGTATGGCTTGTTTTTCTTTCCCTACCACTCAACTCGTTTCTCCTTTCCCTTTTAGGGTT